CCAGGCGCTCCGTGGTCACCAGCCCCAGCGCAACCATGAAGGCGATTTTCTGAGGGGAGGAAACAGGGGCGTGAGCGGTCCCGGCCCGCACCCCGGCGCCGCGGCCTGCTCCTCCCTCCTGCCCACGCCCCGGCCCGGCCGGCCGGCTCCTGTGGCACTGCGCCCCGGGCTGCCCTCGCTTTGCTGACCCTGCGTGCTGGGCACGTACTTTCTAGGACACTCCCGGCTGGGACTTGGCTGCTGTTTCTGAGCAGTGGGTGAGCTGGTGGGTGGGCGGCAGCCCGGCGCGGCGCCCACCGTGTCGGCCCGTGGCGGGGGCGGCTCCCCGGGCCCAGGTGTGTCTCCCTGTGCAGGTGTCCCCGGGGGACAGTCACCCGCACAGCCCCACGCCAGGAGCGGGCGTCACCCCCTCTGGGGCCTGCCAGGGGACGAAAGAGACGAGCGTGCTGTAGACTCCAACGCTGTTTCCTCTCTGGCGTTTGGGTATTTTCATCCCGGCGAAGCCACTGTGGAAGCCACGGCTTTGCTTTCCACGTTGGCGACGACTCACTGGGAAGCGACCGTGGTGTGTGCGGCCGGGCGGGAGAGGCTCCCGGCGGCGGCGCCTCGCTGGCTGTCATCGACTGAGGAGTCGTCCTGGCGAATCGCCGGCTGGCGCGAGCTCACGCCGCATCCGCGTGCCCCGAGGTGCCCGGCGCACACCCCGTCCGGGCCTCTCCGTCCCCAAGCGGCCGCACTGCCGCCGGAAGCTGCCCGGGACCCCGATCCTGCCAGCACCTTCCCTGCTCAGCTTCCCGGCCCCTCCGAGAAGCCCCTGAGGGGCCGAGGCGGGGAGCAGCCGGGGGCCTTCTCGGCTGGCGCAGACCTCGCGCTCCGGGCGGCACCCCGCCAGCGGCCCTGCCCCTCTCCTCGGCCTCGGGCTTTTCTCTGCCTGGAACCGGGGGTCCTGAGGGTGCTGTTCAGGCGCTTGCCGTCTCTGTGCGTCAGAGGGCTGTGTCGGCCGCGGGGCCGCTCTCCGCGAGGACGGTGGGCCCGGCCTGACCCTCCGGCGGAAACTCGCCGGCCGGCCGCAGCTGTCTCGCCCGTTTTCTGGAGTTTCCACATCATCCCAGATAGTGGCGGCTTCTCCTCCCCGACTTTTACTTCCGCGCTGCTAGAAACAAGTCTCACGGTGTCAGCTTGATGTTCCGGCTCACAGTCCTCCGCACACACGACCTTCCTCGTGCGCCTCCTCTCTGCCCCCATTCGACCCCGATGACCCCTAAGCCTTACAGCAGCATGCTACATTCATATTCCGTGCCAACTCCCTCTCCCCCTCGTTTCCTCCACTGTCCAGCACGCGGATGCCCGCTGGCGCCACGGTCAGCCTCCGTCCTGCTGATGGGGCGTTTCCCGAACGCTACGGGAGCAGTGACCCCGCGCTCTCGGAGATTCAGGACCTTGTGCCTTGCAGATCCTGGGCTAGATGGGTCCTGGGCTCCTGCTTCCGCAGGACCTCGCTGTACAGGGCCCAGAGAGGTCTGAGGACAGACTGCCAGGTTCCACCTCGGTGACCTGGCTGCTCTGCCGGACGCCTGCAGAATCCCTGGGCTTCCGCGACGTCCCGACGCGAGGGCGCTGGGCTGGCTACTGGCCGTTTCCTCTGGAGCACGCGTTGCTTCACCTGCTACCCGACGCTTGTCCTATCGCAGTAAATGATTTTTGAGTTATATCTAAAAAACAGCGAAGCATCACATTATGAGATGCAAATGCGTAAGATGTGTCCCTGTCACAAGACATGACGGGGGCGGCAGGGCCACAGGAGGGGTCCAGGGCCCAGCAGCTTCCCCCAGTGCAGGCCGCAGTGCGGCGCGGGGCTTCGGTGCCCCCGCCGGGGCTCCAGAAGCCCAGATGCCGCCTCGCCCCGCGGCCTGCCCCGGCCGCACAGAGCTGCGGAGTCAGGCTGGGCCCTGCCCCGCCTCTCCTTCACAGACGACCTCGGCCTGTCGCGTGAGGACAGGGCGTCAGGACGTGGCGCAGCCGTCTGCCAGGTCACAGCCGTCACAGCACGGGGGGGGCTTGTGGCCCAGTTTCGCCACGTTCCTGAGCCCCAGTGTTCAGGCCCCCGCTGGGGCGCGTTCTGTGTGTGATGCACCTTCTTGCCTGCCTTGCGTGGACACTGCTTTCTGGTATTTAAGGCCAGTGTCTCTGGACCCGGCATTCTCACCTGCCGCAGGCCCCGCTGCATTTTCTGCTTTGTCCGACACCCCTGCGTTCGCCCGGTTATGTCTTTATTTATGAGATTATTCCCTTGCTTTTCCCTCCATAATCCCAGCTCACACTTCACTCTCCCGTACTTTGGCCAATTAGCCAGACTCCTCTGTAGTCTTCCCGAAATCCTGGGTAGTTTTCTTCTTAGTGGCGATTCTCTTGTTAAGTTTCTTTTTGCTTTGACTTCCTTTAATTATCTTTTGGCTCAGTTAAAGCAATAGTTTGTATCTGTGGAGGCATCCAAGTTTACGGAGAGGCACTGCTCATGGTTTAGTACAGCCGTTGAAACAAAGCGGGTTACTGAAGGAGAAGCATTCAGGCAACTAAATGATACACTACTTTTACATCTGTAACTAGCACACATTTCATTTTTAAAAGAAACTTTGTACTAGTTAGAGCACAGTCACCTAGAGGCAAACACCAGATGGGAGTTTCTGAGTGATGCCAGCAAAGGCCATCTTGACGCCGAGAGCGCCGAAAGCTGAAGCTACCGAATTTCTGGAACACCGAAGCACGTTCAGCAGAAACTCTGTTTTTAACGAAGAGTCACTGGCTCACGTTCTGCTCCTGGCGCCAGCTTTCACTGTGTCCAGTGGAACCTTCTGGCCCTCCCAGTGTCCTCCAAAACGTGAGCTGCTCTCTGGGTACAAACTCCTCTCACCAATGAGCGGTGCGCTTCCGCCACCCTGCTGGATCTTGGATCCCTCTGCCAACATGAAGCACGAGCGCCAGCAGCGTGCCCTCCGGGCGGCCCCGACACCGGCTCCGGTGGGAGTGACGGGCTGGCAGCCAGCGCAGGCTCCTCCTCCCCGCCGCCCGAGGGACAGCCGCCCGCTGTCCGGGCCCGCTCGGCCCTCGCCGTCGGTCACAGCTG